TAACTGGACATTATTATTATCTTAATTAAAGTTAAAACGATTATTTATTCGTATGTAGAGACAAATAATGTACAGCGACTGTGTATACGGTGCCACTGCACCGGTGTATGCAGCGTAGCTTAGTGGATCGAGGGTACAGTCAGCTGAGGGATACAGTGACGGCCTCTGTAGAGCACCCAATTGAGCGGTGTTGTCAGCTGATTGATTGCTGAGAATTCTTTTTTCATTGTGGGAGCGCATACGTTGTCACCGCGTCGGTGTGCATTGTGTTGCCTGAAAATAACATTGGAAGCATCGATTATTATTACTCATGATATAAGGAAGTAGAATATGACTTGATAGTGTGACTTGACAGGCTCTCAATAAGGTAAATAACAAATAACGTTACCTGTTGATTGGTGCTGGTGCCGGGGCACTGTGCTGCGTTGCGAGGGCATATACGTGGTGCTGCTTCGATGCACGCTGTATAACCTGAAAATAGCATTAGAGGATTAGTAACCACCAATTGTGCCTAATGGGAATGTAGGATGACTTTATGACGTGACATAGCGATATTTCAATGGAGAGGGTAACAGACATATAAATAGTGTCAATTGCTACTTATCTGCAGGGATATAGTGCTGCGCTGCGGGGGCACGGATGGTGTGCTGCGCCGGTGTACACCGTACAGCCTGAAATAATATTGAGGGCATTGATTATTTTCAATCTATGATAAATTAGTATTAGGGATGTCTTTCTGACACGATTTAATAATATCTCACTTAAGTAGATTATATAGTGTCTTACCTGTTAACTGCCTGCAGGGGTAAAGTGCTGCGCTGCGGGGGCGCATGTGCCTTGATACTGCTGCGTGCACCGTACTGCCTGAAAATAATATCAGAAGATTAGTTGTTAATCAATCACTGTTAACGAGTGATAAATGGAGATGGGGAGTGTTTCACTGGCATGCTCTGTGGAGTGAATCTGTGCCCTCGGTTGGGATGCACTACCATAGAATTGCTGAAAGTTGTCATGGATCAGATACTGTTATAAAACTGCTCTGAATTATGCATCGGAGAGGGGAACGCGAATTCGAATATTAAAGACTGAAACGTAAACCGCGGATTTGATATCTTTGCACTGTAGGGGAAACTAGCACTCTTTTCATATCGAGGCGGGATTAGAGAACGAGTTATATATAGGGGATTATTGCACTGAAGAATACAGTTGTAGTTAAATTATACTCGCTAAGATTTGCGAGCCGGCGTGCACTCCCACCGTTTGACAGGTGGGGTTAGGGCGCCCACGTACGGCGCATGGATTGAGGTTATGCAAACGGTGGACTTTGGAGACGGCGCGGGCGAAACGTATTCTTGTTGTCGGATTATCTTAGTGTATTGCAATACCGGGGCGACGCCCGTTGACCCATAAAAGCGGTCGGGTTGTTCCCCCTCGGCTTTGCCTGTGTGTTCTCGAAATCTGTGTTCCCTTACCTCCTTGCGTCGGAAAGCAGATCTGCGGGGGGCGAGTACAAGGTAGGCTCCAGACTCGCCCGCCCGTGGCGTCGAGGGAGTTGCCGACGCCGAGACAGGTTTGGTAGTGCACCCGTTGCACATACGATGAATGTGTCACTTCGTGTAACCTCTTCGTGCCGCGAACTACAGTCATGGAGCACTCAATGGTGAGAGCGAGTGCGCATTGTCTGAAAGATCAGCTGCTCTTACGGGCATAAACTATATATGTACATGATGGGTGAGCGAAATCTTCCGGGCGGGATTCTCATGAAACCCGAATATTGAGATACATAGAGAGTCAACTGAGTTGAGTTGAGCATTCGCGGAGGCTTACGCACGACACGCGCGACGTATATAAAGGCGGATTCTCATTGTTTTCGTTATTTCGAACTAAAGCATCAACTAAATATACTATCTTGTTATAAAATATAAATTTGGAAGGATAATCCACGCGTGGATGGAATGAAGCGTATAATAGGGAAATAACGTATGCTCGAACGCGGGGTGCGACCATCGAGTGCTCGGTGATTGGACGGAATGTGTATTGCCTGTTAAATCACTCTAGTAAATAAATAAAGGAATAAATGAGGATAGACGGTATAAATACAGACGAGTGAGTGGCAATGTACATATAGTAGCATCTTTATAAGTTCGTATTAAAGAAAGAGGATAGCACATAAGCGCGAAGCAAACTAATCGCAATTGTGGGTAACTTAATGATGCAAACCGAAGAGGTGGCAGCCTTGTGAGGCCCCCCAAGCACGGTTATCATAGTTAAAGCTACTGTGTAGCATAGTGTATATATATGTAGAGTTACTGATACTGTTTGAGTTTATGAGTTCTGAGTTAAAGTATATAGTTATAATTAATTTGTCTTATAATCGGCGTTATCATCATTATTATTTAAAGAGTTGCTGTTTCAAGTCGATTTTTTATATTTTGTTGTCATCATTATTATTAGTTAGTCTTAAGTCTAGATTGGTTTGAACTGCTAGCGTTATTGAAGTTGCCATCATTGTTATTAGTAGGCTAAGAGTTATATAGGTTAATCTGTTAAGTTGCGTTACTGTAAGTTTAAATTAATCTGCTTGGCGAGATTTAAGGCGCTATTGGTCGATACGCCATAGCGAACTGAGAAATATCAAACCGGAAGTGCGGAAATTCCTCGTGGGAATAGTGTGTCGAACTTAGCATACTGTTGACCCCCAGTGTTACACTACTGTACACGCTGTTTCTGGGGGTGGGCACGAGTCAGTGGTGGACTGGCGCCCTGAATAGTGTAGGGCGAGCAGTGTGAGGTAGATTGAGAGGACTTGAAAGTGTCTGGATCAGGACACATTGTATTGAGTTGGACTGGGCTGAAGCAGACGGCGACAGCTTGGCATTTTGTGTAACGGGTGGAGAAGAGGCAAAAGAGTTATTCAAGATCTTTTTTCGTCTCGTGCCTGTGACCCCCGAAGACCGGGCACGAGCAAAGGGGCAAGAGAGGAGCTCTTGACAAAAAGTCGATCCTAACTTAGCAAATATGGAAAGTCAAGATACGGATTTAATACCCTCGGGGACTCGGACACCTGAGGAACGGCGCGAGGGGGATGCTTGTCCCTGTCCCCCCGCGTCGGCAACATGCGAAGGGAGCGGGGCAGGGGGGACCACGACCCCTCTGCTCAAAGCAGCAATCGTGAAGGTGGAGCACGTCAATATTGATGTAACGAAATATAAAAGAGGTAAACCCATGTCTAAAGACACGTCGGCGACTGATGCGGACGTCAGCATGGAGGACTCGCTAGACGAAGAATTCGAAAGGCCAGCCCCGAAAGAGAAAAAGGCTAAGAAGAAGGACAAGCCTGCCAGTGGGAACTCCCCGGAGCTGGAGTATATTTCCACAACGGAAGGTGGCCCGTCGTCCAGGCCGGGCACATCGCGGAACCAGGATGTGGAGTTGGTCTCCTACACGCCTGGTACGAGATCTAGGAGGAGCTCCGATTCGTCGCGGGCATCCACTAGAAAGAGAAAACATAAATCCTCTCCTGAGGATGCGGATGAGGAGGGTGAACCCTTATTCAGTAGATTCACGGATATACAAACGCAAGCGGTGCAGGACCGATTAGAACAGATTGAAGAGCTGTCCTCCGCTGATATGGCTGCTAGAGCCAACGAATGGCTTAGCGAGGTGGAAAGCTGTAGGGGAAAATCGAAGAATATCAAAGGATCCTTTACGCACAAAATGAAGGTGGGCATCGCGGCAGCCTCGGGGGCAATGAAGATCCTTGCCATGAGGGCGTCAATGGACGGTGATTCAGGGTTTATGCGAGCTAAGATAGCTGAGCTACAGAAAGAGATGAAAACGTTAAAGGAGGAGAATCAACAGCTGAAGCTACAGATAGAGGACCTGCGTAGCGGAGCCCCAGTGTTTGGCGAAACCACCGCTGAGGGTGGTGCGGGGACATTTAGATCTCCCGGACCCTCGGCGGAATTCTTCAGCCCGATGGCGGAGATGCCCCAAACGATGGAAGAAAGAATAGGGAGGGACTTACCCGGAACGCCGGCAAGACCAAGAGGATCTCCCAATCATGGACTGAGGAACCCTCCTATAGGGGACGACTTCTTCGAGAAGCTCACGGGTGCAATTAGCCAGGCGGTGGCGGGCGCCATCAAAGAACATATGCCTAGGGAGGAGAAAACCAAAGCCCAGGGAAAGACTGGTCCACATAAAATTCTGGATAGAATTAAGCGCCTCGAGAAACCCTCTCCCCGCTCGGAAACCACTGAGTCCTACACGGAGGACGAGGGATTAGCGCGTAAGCAGGGTCTTAGTATGAGACAGCGTGAGAAGAGAGTGAGAACACAAGCTGTAACCACCCGAGAGGAGGTACCGGCGACACCGGCAAAGAGGACGATTGAGCGGACAGAGGAGGGCAACAGGAATGCCGAACTCCCGCCGTTGGTAGAATCAAATCGGAACAGACCCGTGGACAGGAGGCCACCGAGGGAAAACGCTGAAGTCGGAAGGAGGCGTGTCCCGCGATCCGCTGCGGTCGCGATGTCATTCCCTGAGGGGATGAAATTCGCGGAAGTAGTTAAGAAGGCTCGGAATAGCGTGAAACTCGACGAGCTCGGCATAGAACACACTAGGCTGAGGACAACGCTGGCGGGAGCAGTTCTGGTGGAATTGCCGGGAAAGGACATGTCCCCTAAAGCGGACCTGTTGGCTGACAAACTCAGAGAGGCTTTTAAGGGCTCGGAAGTACGGGTTGCGAGACCGTCTTTGAGGGGTGAGCTGCGTCTCTCAGGTCTGGACGCATCAATCAGCCCGGAGGAACTGAAGGCAGCTATGGCTGATAACGGAGGCTGTGCGACGACCGACATTCGCTTGGGGCAGTACAGGATCACCAGAAATGGCGCACGCACGGTGTGGACCCAGTGCCCACTGAACGCGGCCATGCAGTTGGCGCAGGAGGGGCGGCTTCGAGTCGGCTGGTCCACAGCCAGAGCGGTCCTCCTGAAGAAGCGCCCTGTCCAATGTTTTAGGTGCATGGCGTCGGGCCACGTTAGAGAAAGGTGCCCAAGCGAGGTTGATCGCTCGTCCAGTTGTTTCAACTGCGGGGAGAATGGGCACATAGCCAGAAACTGCGGGAAACCGCCCGAATGCCCTATTTGCAAAGGGCAAGGACGTAGGCATGATCATAGGGCCGGATCTGAGGCATGCCCTCCGTGCCCACCGAGGAACCTCAGGGGTGGAAGCCAAAGCCCGATGCCGCAAAGAATCCCGGTCGATCGGAGTAGTGCGGCCGCGCCTGACATAGAAATATGACTACGATAGCGCAAATAAACACGAATAGATCGTCGGGGTCGCAAAACCTCCTCATGCAAATAATGCATGAGAGGGGATGCGGCCTAGCCTGCATACAGGAGCCGCACGTCGTCCCAAACGATCCGAGATGGGCGCGATCCACGGAGGACCCACCCATGGCGGCCATTACATGGCAAGGTATGGTCGCACCGAGCGCAGTGAGCGTACTGAGCCAAGGCAGAGGCTTTGTGGCGGTAAGGTGGAACGGTACGATCGTTGTATCGTGCTATTTTTCTCCCAATAAAGGGACCAATGAGTTCAGGGCATATCTGAAGTCAGTCAACAGTGCTATTGTGGATCACATAAGGGGCCCATTAATAATAATGGGCGACTTTAACGCTAGATCCCACTTATGGGAGGACACACATCCTACTGTGAGAGGTGATATCTTGGTTACATGGGCTGCGGCATTAGACCTGAGATTGGTCAATGAAGGATCTGACCCCACATGTGTGAGACCACAGGGGACTTCGGTGATCGACTTGACTTGGGTCACACCGGCGGTTCTACCCACAATTAGATCGTGGGAACTCGCGATTGATCAAGAATCATTATCAGACCACAGGCTTATCTTTTTACGGTTACACGGCAAGAGAAACTCACCGGCTGAACGTGTTACACAAGGCTTCCCTAAGTGGAACTTGAAGAGTCTCAAGCCGGACATGCTGAAGGCGAGTCTCGCAGTATCTTACTGGCCGGGGGTAAGGGAGAACGAAGATGCGGAGATACAGGCGACACGACTGCAAAATGCACTCAAGGATGCGGCCGACCTTTCCATGACTCGGCACCGGGCCCGGGGGCGGAAAGCAATCTACTGGTGGAACGAATCAATAGCTGCCCTGAGAAGGGAGTGTAACGCCCTAAGGAGAAAAGTTACCAGGGGTCGCAGAAGAAGGCGGGCCGCGATTTTCGAATTAGAGGCGGAATTAGCACAGAAACGAAAGGAACTGAGAGGGGCGATTCGTGAGGCAAAGAACAATGCGTGGAAAGACCTCCTGGCGACAATAGACCGGGACCCGTGGGGCCGCCCGTACAAACTTGTTCTTGGCAAGTTGCGACCAATGGATAAACCAATTTGCGAAACGCTCCCGCCGGAGACGCTGGCTCGAGTGATAGAGGGACTATTCCCCAAGGTAAATGAAGAGTTGCAACCAAGAGATAGAGAACCGGTCCAGTGGGACGAAGAATTTTCGGTGTCTGATGCGGAGATCGAATGGGCGCTGGGCAAAATAAAGTGTACCGGTAAGGCCCCCGGCCCTGACGGAGTCATGGGGGGAGTGGTTAAAGAGGCGTTTAGTGAAATCAGAGGACCTCTGAAGCAGTGTTTCACTGCATGTCTCCGAGAAGGAGTCTTCCCTGCCTGCTGGAAGGTAGCCAAACTGGTGTTACTAAAGAAACCAGACAAACCAGAGGGGGCGCCATCATCATATCGACCGATCTGCCTTCTTAGCGAGCTAGGGAAGATGTTGGAAAGAATCCTGGTGAAGAGGATTCGGGTTAGTCTGCGCGAGGGCGTTGGGATCTCGGATGGACAATATGGCTTCAGAGAAAAAAGATCAACGGTGGACGCCATCTTGCAACTTAGAGAAATCCTGGAGCCTGTCTACGGGGAGGAGAAACAGCACGCCATCGCTGTATCATTGGACATCTCCAATGCATTTAACTCCCTGCCTTGGGAGAGCATTAGACAGGCTCTGGTGGAGAAAGAAGTACCCAATTACTTGAGGGTCATTACAAACGATTACCTGTCCAGCAGATGGATAACGTGGATCAACTCCAAAGGCCGTAAGAAAAGAATGCCTATGTCGTGTGGGGTTCCACAGGGTTCAGCGTATGGGCCGGAAAGCTGGAACCTGGCATATGACCGAGTGTTACAAGAAGGCCTACCGGCCGGCTGCCACGTGATATGCTACGCTGACGACACGTTAGTGGTAGCTCTTGGGGAGAACTTAAACATCGCCCGTGCCCGTGTTGAGATGGCCGTGGCACTCATAGTCATACGTATTGAGAGCCTAGGACTCAGAATTTCCCCGGAGAAAACAGAGGCGTGTGCATTTAGTAAGGCACATAGATTTGTGCACGACAACACGGTACTGGTGAAGGGCGTGCTTGTTCCGCTTGGCTCCTCGTTAAAATACCTGGGCCTGGTACTGGGACGCAAGTGGACGTTCCGCGAACACTTTACACAAGTGTTGCCGAGGGCTGAAAGAATGTCGCTCGCACTGGCAAGGATAATGCCGAATCTGAGGGGTCCCTGCGAGCTGGTCAGACGGGTATACTGCGCCGTTATACACTCCGTTATCTTTTACGGAGTTCCGGTCTGGGCGTCCACCCTCAATGCCGATCGAAGAGTGGCTAATGATATAAGAGCTCTACAACGCAAGGTTGCGCTTAGGGTAATAGCGGGTTACCGAACTATCTCCTATCCGGCGGCATTCCTGTTGTCCAGGGTTATGCCGGTCGATTTTGCGGCGGAAAGATTGAGCAATATCTATGCAGAAACGCGGGAAATACAGAGGCAGGAAATTCCGATGACACATCGTATTCGCAATCGTATAAGAGAGAGGGCATTAGATTCGGCCCTGCTTAGGTGGGAAGAGGTGTATAGGAGACCCGGCACTACGGCCGTAGCGGTTAGAGAGGCAATAGCCCCACACCTGAACAGATGGTATAAGCGAAAGCATGGTCAACTAACGTATAGAATGACCCAAGTTATTACAGGACATGGGTGTTTCAACTCATTCCTGTGTCGCATTGGTAAGGCCCCGAGCAGCGCCTGCTCTTTTTGCGATGGTAGGGAGGATTCAAATATCCACACCCTTAGCGAATGTCCCGCATGGACCTCCGATAGGGATAATCTGGTGAGAATTATAGGGCCTGAACTAGACCTAAGATCTGTTATATTTGCCATTCTGGAATCACCAGCCAAATGGGCGGCACTGCGAGAGTACTGCGAGATCATTATGCTCAGGAAAGAAGAGGCTGAACGGGCGCGAAAGGCCCAGGCGGCTGAGGAAGAGGTTAGGTTAGCGGGACTAGCCGTCCTGGGAGAGACGGATGAGGAGTAATAAGGAAACCTTCATCTTTCCTTTCTCCTTATTCCCTGAATAATTAGGTCAGATGAACTTTGGTTCAATTGTCATTGAGGTTGCCTGCACTGTTGTGAGCGCCTTTCGCTCATGATCCCCGAGGGTGGCCCTGAAGTAGTGCTTTAGCGGTTCCGGGGTCACCTTCATATGAGATCGGGTCGTTGTTCTTCGTGGTGATGTTTTAGTGGGTAGGCGCTTAGCCCTTGTCATCTGGGCAAGCGAATCCCACACTCCCCTGCTTGCAGGCGCAGGGGGTCTTAAGAAGATTTTTACACCACGTTAAAAAAAAAANAAAAAAAGTAGGTTAGGTTAGGTTAGGTTAGGTTAGGTTAGGTTAGGTTAGGTTAGGTTGAGAAGGTGGCGTAGCTGAGGCGGTCAGCTGTAGACTACCAATCTGTCGACCCGGGTTCAATTCCCCTGATTCCTGAATTTTTAGGTCGTTTCGTGTGCGCTGAGTCGTGCGGACGTGTCTTTGTGGCGCTCCGCCTTCTACGTACACGCCCGTGTGGATAAAGCGCGTTTTCCGCGTCGTGGGTGCGTTTAATGTGTGCGGCGTGCGATCCTGTATCGATTCACAAAGTTTTGTGTGCCGGAGTTTAGTTTTCGGGAAGGAATAAGCATTTTTCTGGCATCGCGGAACGTGGCTCGCGGCTACGGCCCAAAATGGCTGGCCCTGCCACGCCTGACATGTCGTGGTAACAAGGGGCAAAGTTCCCTCGTTTCTGGATTTGCATCAAGCTCCGGGAGTACGGCGCACCTCTGTGAGTTAGTGATGGCCAGTTACCGCGGTTTTAAATTCTCTGAGTTTCCCCCGGAGTAATATATATGCGGATTATCCGTGCGTTAGATAACCGACGTGTGCTTCGAAAAGTGCAGAACGCGCTGACGGCGTATAGAAACCTTCGGGATATACTGCCGTCACGGGAGCGGAGCGCGGTAGTGTAAGTGGGACGCGAATCCGTTATACGGCCCGAATTTAGTGCAGAATTACTTTGAAAAAGAGTAAAAGTGCGTGGTGTATGCGCTCTGTGCGGAGCCGTGTGCGCGCGAACACACCTCGTCGCGTTGGCTCATGCGAACGAGCCCTATGTGAGGTGCGCGATCTTCACTGCCTATACCCGTGGCGATCGCGCCACGTGCTCGGAGAACGATCGCCGGGCTGTGTTTTTTACTGTATACCGGACAGTGACCAGTGCGGGGGTGCTGCACTGTTGCGTGGAGGTGTGCATGGGCGCTGCAAGTCCGCGTTGCACGAAAGTGAACGCGTGGCGGCGCTGTGCATGTACCGGCGTGACCGTGTGCGACATGGCGGCGAATGCCGCGTTATGACGTTTTCGTATGCACCAAACGACGATTGCATGCTTTTAAGGTGCCCCAGTGACCCTAGTGCGGATTGTCGCTCTCTCTTCCCGTGGTGCGTGGATTGGTGGGTTGACCGGTGGTTAGCTGCTCCTCCGTTCTCGGAGGCGTAACGCTGCTCTGCGGGGCGCTTTGCCGGCGCCGGGGGTCTGCCGCCTCCCTCCGCTATGACAGCTGACGGGATGGCGTAGGGACCCAGCTCTTTTTCTCCGGCGTCGTCCGGTGTTCTGTGCCTGCCTCCTGCCTCTTCCTGCCTGTGGGAGTGAGAGAAACGTGCCTGCGGACATCTGTCTGTGTGAGGGTTAGCTGAGGTAGGATCTGTGTGTGACGTTTGCATAGGGGCGATACTCACGCTGTGTGAGCCCCTACCCGCGTAGCAACAAGGATCTAGAAACCTTTAGTGTTCAATTAATTTCTCTGTGATTTGGAAAAAGACCGGACTCTATAAGGTCACACGGAATGAGAGGGGCTTCACCCCACTGCTTAGGAGTTATAACAGTGCGCGAGTATTAAAAATTCATTTCATTGTATTGAATTAATCTGACTGATTTGATTTGATTTAAACATTAAGATAAATTAAGTATAGTTTTCTTTTCTCTATTGTGAACGAATATCGCGGGATTTGCCAGACGATTGCAGCAACGGGCTGCCTGTGTGTGCATTGGCAGTCGTTAAGCGACAGCGTAAAGCGCACCCGGGGCTCCCGCGCCTATGCCGGGCGCGGCGCCCCATTGCACGGGCGTATTGTACTTTGAACTGTGAGATGCAGAGATGCCGGTGCACAACCTGCTACGCTGGCCACTGACGAGGAATGCTTACTGGAGAGGATATCTGGATGCTCGAATTTTGCTGCATAAGCGTGTGCTTGTTTTGTACACGTGTATATTTTATTGCATTGCCGGGTGAGCGCTGGGCGCGAGTCCGCCCTGGCTCTTGTGAACGGTCCTTGTTGGAGTGCCCGGAGTCTCGGAGAGCGGGGATCGTCGCCCGGACTGCTTGACTTGTGTTCTGTCTTTGTGACGTGATTTCAGCAGGCTGTTACGCGTCGGGACATACCGAGCGGAGCGACGGGTGTTAAACGGCGTGTCTGTGGCCGCCCATAACCTAAAATATACGCTGGGACTGTGGTGCGGCGTGACACCCGTGGACTGAGGGATCGGCTTCCTGAGGTGATGGCGAGGCGTACATGCGCCCAGAATACGTGTGTGCATGTGCGGTGCCCTCGCGTGTGAGCGTTACGCGATATTACGTGCCCGGGTGGCGTCCGGGGCGGACGCGTCTTTCTGCGGTGGCCGCGCTCGATAGTCTTTGTCGGGACGTGTGCGTCCTGATTGCATACTTTTTTCATAGATAAAACCGCGCGATTATCTCGCGACGCGCGATCGGGGCGGCCTGCGTCCGGGGCGTGCCCGGGGCCGTGCCGAGAGATCTTTCATTGTCGTCGCCGCGGGGCGATGCGCTCTGCGTGGAGCGTTACTGATTATTACTGAACTTTATTAATCTCTAATTATTCGGCGAATTTCTAGAGTGGCCTCTCCGCTCCGCTGGAATGCGTTGCGGGCGTTGATAGATGTTTTCGCGATCGCGACATTATAGGTTAGGACTCGCTCGGCGCGATTCATCATTTGACAGGTGAGGTTAGGTTGCCCGCGTGCGGAGCCTGAGCTGTGGGGAACGGGCGGCAGTTGCTGATCCTCGCTTCCAGCATCGACGACGCGCTTGCACATAGCCCGTAAAAGCGGCTAATGCATTTCTGCGCGCTATTACTGTTCTTTTTCTGCTGCCTGTCATATATTATATGTTCTATGTGCTAGCCTATAAGCATCGGCGGAACCTGCGGAGGGCGAGCACAGGTAAGAGCCCGGCCCGCCTGGCCGCAGCAACGGTGGAGTTCCGGCCGCCGATAAGGTTTGGGGCTCATATTATTAATCTCCGGGATGCCTTGTGCCCGGATTATCTGCGGGATATAATTGTCGTAAAGGGGGTTGCTCATTCCTGGAGCGGGTGTGCATCGCGCGCGTAAACATTGCTGTGAATTTTCCGGCATAGACAATGTGCGCACGTGAATAGCAAGTGCCACTTAGCGAGCAGCACATACACGAGACCGACCATGGGGTATGTAGTGTCGAGACGCGTGCCGGCGCTTTGTATCGGGTCCGGCTTTTAGAACGCACCGTGTAGGATCTGAAGTTAACGTAAGGCCGCGTTTTCATGTGAATACTCGTACATACTCGTACATAACAGTAACGAATAGTGATTACGGATGAGTGATTGCGCGAATTGCCTGTATATCCAAGGGATAGACTCATTGACGGGATTTTGGGCTATAAATATACTCACCTTCTTGCCGCGCTGTATATGAAAGCCCCAATTTAGCTACCTAAATACAAAGGTGCACGAGGCATTACGGATGATGGTACTCACGACGGAAACCACTCAAGGCCTGTTCTTATGTTAGTTCTTTTATAGTAAATCGTAAATGTGTTCGTAAATTGGATGCATAGCTGGTTTAGCTTACCGGTGTATGCGGCCCCATACTTAACGCTGAACAGAGAGCTGCACAGTGCGATAGTACTGTATCAATTCCGGAGTTGAAAATTAGGCACTGTTTGTAGGGCCGAATTCAGTGACGGGCCCTTGCGGGTTTCCTCTCGTTTGCGGGTGGTGCCGGCGTTGGCACCAGTAATGACACTAAGGTTATAAGTAGTAATAGACATTGTATATATATATAGGACGAGGACCTGATACAGGATAGTGTATATAGGTATTATTATTCGTGTTTATGAGTTTTCTTGAGTTCCTTGATTGAATTTCGTTATCTATAATAATAAGTTTTGTTATATTAGTATTAGAATTGAATTTCTTTACCTTGCCGTTAAGTTAATTGGTTCATCATTATTATTAGTTAACGCTAGTGTTATTCGATTTGTTTGTTCTGTTGACTTAATTACTCTTAAGTTAGATTACTATATTTAGTTGAGTTAATTACCTTAAGTTAGACTATTATATAGTTACGGTGACAAGTGTCTTTAGAAGGCTGCCCCGTGTTCCGGGTAGTTGAGTCGAGCTTCGCTCCTCCTCCGGTTCAGTGGGCACGCAGTGACTGACAGACAGGTGCTTGATCCCTGTAGAAGAGTGGCCTATTGCAAAAGTATTGCAATAGCAATACGGCATCTGAAACAAGACTTAGTGAATCACTCTGAGTACCGGCTTAGCCCCTAGTGACACGCCTTGTAAGGCGTGCAACGCTGTTTCCTGGGAGGCACCAACGCTGACGAGTGGCTGTTACTTTCAAGATCCTTCTCACATACTCGTGAACCCCACTTTCCGAGTATGACTGGCAAAAGGGGCAAGAGAAGTGGTCCTCTTGACAAAAACTGCAAAGAAAAACTAAATATGGAAGGTCAAAATATGGATAACTCACCTTCGGGGCTTCGGAACCCTGAAGAACGGCGCGAGGGGGATTCTTGTCCCTGTCCCCCCGCGTCGACAACGAGCAAGGGGAGTGGGGCGGGGGGGACCACGACCCCTTCGCCCATGGCTGCTATCGTGAAGATGGAAAGAGTTAACCTTAAGGTTATCAAAAAGCCTGAAGGCAAGATTGTGTTATCTAACACTGACGTTAGTATGGACGAAACTGAGGACGAGGTTTTTGAGAAACCTAAGAAGATCGACAAAGCGAAAAAGAAGAAGACGGAAGCTCCTAGCCGACCTAAGTCCCCGGAGCTGGAATATGTGTCGACATATGAGGCTGGGCCATCATCGAGACCTACTACCCCCCGCAACCCTGATATTGAGTTGGTATCATACACGCCGGGCACAAGGTCCAGGAGAAATTCAGATTCGTCTGCTAGTAAGAAGAGGAAACGTAAGTCCTCACCTGAGGACACGGATGAGGATGAAAGAACAACTCTGAACCGATTCACTGATGCCCAAAGACAGGATGTGGAGGACCTCCTGGATCAGATAGAGGAACTCTCCTCCGCCGATATGGCGGCTCGGGTCACTGACTGGTTAGGCGAAGTTGAGGAATACCGTCGGAAATCACGAAATATTAAAGGATCCTTCACGCGCCAAATGAAAGTGAAGGTGGCGGCGTCTGCTGAAGCCACTAAGGTATTAGCCATGAGGGCTTCCATGGAGGGAGATATTGGATTCATGAGGGCTAAAATCCTTGAGCTGCAGAATGAAATGAAGACCGTCAAAGAGGAAAACCAGCGACTTAAGCTGCAATTGGAGGATTTGCGTAATGGAGCGCCTCTATTTGGAAATGCCAAGGAGGATGGGGCCCAGGGCGAAATGAGATCGCCGGGACCTTCGGCGGAGTTTTTCAGCCCTGTGGCTGAAATGTCTCACTTGATGGAAGTGGGACCACTGGAGGATGCCCGACGAACTCCGGCAAGATTGAGAGGCTCTCCCCCTCGCCCTAGCACTGTGGGCCCACCTATTGGGGAAGAGTTCTTTGCGAGACTCACTACAGCCATCAGCCAGGCTGTGGCTGGCGCTATCAGGGAGCATCTCCCTGGGGCGGATAGGCGCGGGCCCCAAGCTGAACCCGGCCCCCGACGGACACAGGGAACCAGATTCCCGGAGAGACTGCCCTCATCGTCTACAGTGGCTGAGCCGATGACGGACGAGGATGGCAAGGGACGCCAAAAGTCTGTCAGTAAGAGACAGCAAAAACGGAAGTCCCGTGCCCCGAGAGATGAAGTGCCTAACGCCCTGGGAAAGAGCTTTAAGGAGCGCATGGAGGAATGCAACGCGACGGCAACTGATGAGGACCCACTCCCAGTGGCCCCGGCTCAGGAACGGCCTAGACCCGTTGTAGCCAAGAGGGAGAATGTGGGAACTGCCCGAAGGAGGGTTCCCAGATCATCTGCTGTGACTCTGTCCTTCCCCGGAAGCATGAGATTTGCGGATGTGGTGAAAAAGGCAAGGGACAGTGTCAAACTGGAGGACATAGGTATTCAGCACACAAGATTGAGAACAACGATGTCCGGGGCGGTGCTGGTGGAGATTCCCGGCAAAGACATGTCCCCCAAAGCGGATGCGCTCGCGGCTAAGCTGAGGGAGACCTTCGGGGACTCGGAGGTTCGTGTTGCGAGGCCGTCTCTGAGGGGAGAGATTCGTCTCTCGGGGTTGGATGCTTCATTAACCCCGGAGGAAGTTAAAACGGCTATGGCTGACAAGGGTGGATGCGCGGTGGAAGACATCCGACTTGGTCAGTATAGAATCACGCGAAACGGATTCCGCACAGTCTGGGCGCAATGCCCGCTTGGCGCAGCGATGGATTTGGCTCAAGAGGGTGGACTGCGAGTGGGGTGGTCCACCTCCAGGGTGGACTTGCTCAAAAAGCGGCCGGTCCAATGCTTCAAATGCTTTGCCACCGGCCACGTGAGGGAGAAGTGCCCCAGCACGATAGATCGTTCTACGTGCTGTTTTAATTGCGGAGCGGAAGGACACAGAGCCAGAGAGTGTGGCAAGCCGCCAGATTGTCCAATCTGCAGGGAGCAGGGGCGTAGACACGACCACAGGGCCGGCTCGGACGCATGCCCACCATGCCCTCCGAAGACGAACCAAAATCAGAGTCCACTATCTCGGAGGAAATCGGCCGAGAGCCCGCTACCTCAACGAAAACCAGCTGATCGGAGGACGGAGGCTGGATCAAGCCAACAATGATTGGGTTAACGTTAGTGCAGGCGAACCTAAACAGGTCAGTCGGGGCGCAGGACCTTCTCATGCAAACTATGCTTGAGAAGGACTGCGGACTGGCCTGCATCCAGGAGCCCTACGTTGTGCCGACCGACCCTCGCTGGGTTCACTCCGCGGAGGACCCACCCCTGGCTGCCATTACCTGGCAAGGCTCGACTACGGGACGCGTGACTATGCTGGGCCGCGGAGACGGTTTCGTCGTGGTCAGCTGGGAGGGCATTACGGTTGCCTCTTGTTACTTCTCTCCTAACAAGGGACTCAATGAATTCAGGGCGTACTTGCAATCCATCAGTGACGTCATCACGACCTATCAGAAGACCCCCCTTATTGTAATGGGGGACTTTAATGCTCGCTCACACCTATGGGAGGACACGCGCCCAACTAGGAGAGGGGACGTAATTGCCTTGTGGGCCGCAACTCTGGACCTAAGGCTCTTAAATGAGGGAGGAGCCCCCACCTGTGTCAGACCGCAGGGCACCTCGGTGATCGATCTGACCTGGGCCTCCCCCGCAGCGTTGCCTGCCGTTCGGTCGTGGGAACTGGCGGATGAAGAGGAATCACTCTCGGACCACAGGCTGATCTTCCTCAGAATGAGAGGTAGCAGAGATAGACCGGAGTTGCGGGTCCCACGTAGCTTCCCCAGATGGAACGCGAGAAGTCTCCAACCAGAATTATTGAGGGCCAGCTTAATGATATCATACTGGCCTGGAGTTCTCGAGGATGAAAGCGCTGAGGCCATGGCAAACCATCTGCAGGATGCACTGGAGGGGGCCTCGGATCTGGCCATGACCAGGCACAAGGTTGGGAAGAGGAAGGCAGTGTACTGGTGGAACAATGAGATAGCCACCCTCCGCAAAGAATGTATCGCGCTCAGGAGAAAGGTCACAAGGAACCGGAAAAGAAGGCATGCCACAGTACTTGCCCTGGAGACCGAGCTGGCAAAGACCCGCAAAAAGCTCAGAGTGGCGATTAAAGAGGCCAAAAGGGGCGCGTGGAGGGACCTTCTCGCCACAATCAACAGGGACCCCTGGGGCAGGCCCTATAAAATCGTTCTGGGGAAACTTCGCCCCGTGGAGAAGCCGATATGCGAAAGATTGGAACCGGAGGTGGTTTCTCGAGTGGTGTCGGGGCTCTTTCCCAGAGATGATACAGAGGAGAGACTCAAACATAGAGAACTGGTTCACTGGGACGAGGACTTCCTTGTAACCAACGAAGAAGTCCAGTGGGCAGCTGGTAAGCTTAAGTATAGCGGTAAGGCCCCCGGCCCAGACGGAATAATGGGCGCCGTGATAAAAGAAGCGCTTCCGGAGATCCTTGAACCTTTAAGGCGCTGCTTCACGGCTTGCCTGCGTGAAGGAACTTTCCCACGATGTTGGAAAGTTGCCAAGCTGGTCCTACTAAAAAAGCCGAATAAACCAGACCTGACGCCATCTTCGTATCGCCCGATTTGTCTTTTGAACGAACTGGGCAAAATGTTCGAGCGAATCTTGGTCAGAAGAATCCGCACCAGCCTGAATGAAGGAGTCGGACTATCGGACCTGCAGTACGGGTTCCGAGAAAAGCGGTCAACAGTAGATGCAATTCTGCGCCTCAAGGATATATTGGAACCGGTTTTTGGCGAAGAAAGACAGCACGCAGTAGCTGTCTCCTTAGATATTTCTAACGCGTTCAACTCCCTGCCCTGGGAGAGGATCAGACAAGCACTGATCGATAAGGAGATCCCCAACTATCTCCGCGTGGTGTCTGGGGATTACCTGAACAACAGGTGGATCACCTGGAGCGATGCCAGAGGACGCAAGAACAAGGTGCCCATGTCCTGCGGGGTTCCGCAGGGCTCAGCCTATGGGCCGGAGGGCTGGAACCTTGCTTATGACGAGGTCCTGCAGAAGGAACTACCCTTGGGATGTCATACCATATGCTACGCAGATGACACCCTAGTCATCGCAATTGGAAACAACCTGGACATGGCAAGAGCTCGTGCGGAGATGGCAGTTGCCTTAATAGTCAGGCAGATCGAGAATATAGGCCTAAAAATCTCCCCACAGAAAACGGAGGCCTGTGTTTTCTCCAAGGCCCACAGGTTTGTCCATGACAACTCTGTACTGGTCAAAGGAGTTATGGTGCCGTTGGGTTCCACACTCAAGTACCTGGGAGTTGTGCTGAGCAGAAAATGGTCCTTCCGTGAGCATTTCGCACAAACTTTGCCGAAGGCTGAGAGGATGTCTATGGCATTAGCCAGAATAATGCCCAACTTGAGGGGACCCTCAGAAATGGTAAGACGAGTGTATAGTGCCACTATACACTCTGTGATTTTTTACGGCGCCCCGGTTTGGGCTTCTGCCCTGAACACGGACCGGAAGACCACCAATGAAATAAGAGCGCTTCAGCGTAAGGTGGCACTAAGAATCATAGCTGGTTACCGGACAGTCTCGTATCCGGCGGCATTTCTGCTCTCCCGAGTAATGCCGGTGGAATACCTTGCAGAAAGATTGGAAAGCATCTTCGCGGATACCCGAGAATTGAGGAGGGAGGACGTTCCCATCACCAACCGGATAAGGGATCGTATACGGGAAAAGGCTCTCGAGACTGCGTTAACAAAATGGGAGATGGACTACAGGAAGCCTGGCACCACTGCGGTGGCTGTAAGAGGAGCGTTAGCCCCAGTTCTGAACAGGTGGTATAGGCGTAAACACGGGCAGTTAACTTATAGACTGACGCAAATGATCACGGGACACGGATGCTTTAACGCATTCC